GAATTGTTATTATAACACTTCTTATATATATTAGGTACATTCGATTCGATTTATTTTATTTTATTATAATATATGTATATGTGTGAGTGTTTATATGTTCACTAAAAGTAAAAGTTTACTTCATTTAATCGGCAAGTTCAGAATTGGATTTTCCTAATTATGTAAATTAGTATATTTAAAATATAAGTAATTCCAATGAAAAGAAACCTTTCATTGAAATAACAGCAGGGTAAATCTCTCTACCTGCCTTTTTGATAATTAATTTTTGTAACAAACAAAAAATGTCATTAAAAAAATTATAGTTTGTCATTAAATGTCATAGAAAGTTTCTTTGTCTTGTATATTGTGTACAAAATTATGGAACTTGAAAGTAATTGTTTTTTGTGATAAAAAGTATACACTTTAAAGTTAAATATAAGTCTCATATCATATTATATTCAGATTCATTTTTAAAAGTCACTTCAACAGTGTGAACGATACGCTACTGAATGCTAAGCTAGGAAGTCAATGAGCAATTTATCTCTCTCTATATCAGGGGTGCTCAAACTTGAACTGCTGGCGATCTACCTCAATATTTTTAGACTACTTACGATCGACTCTGAGCGACTGCAAGTGTGTGTGATGCAGGGTTGTCGTACATACACGATACAGTAGGGCGTACCGTAGCATATATAGATATTAGCTTTCTGCACAATATAGGTACATTATTTTAGTCAAGGTTTGGGTTAGGTTTAGTTAGGTTCTTCTCTACAATATCAATGAAAAAACTCATAGTTATTCAAAATTGCGAGTTTATTTGTTGTTACAAAACAAAAGAGTTACATATGGTGTTAAACTTAACCAAGGAGTGGCTTTGGATGTTGAAGTGTGGCACTGCATGTCCTCAGCATACTTTTCATAAGATGGTACGTAACCACTGAGTGCTAATCGCAAGCATGATGTCATATGATCGTCAGTTAGTCGATTGCGATATTTTGACTTAATTATCTTCATTTCAGAAAATGCAGACTCGCACAAGTAAGTTGACCCAAAAAATGCCGTCAGTTGAAGGGCAATTTGCCTTACATTCGGATATTTATCTTCAGATATAAAACGCCAGTAATTTGTATCAGATACTGTAGCTTTGAGATGTATATCTGATATAATCTGCACCAACTCATTTTCAACAGAACATGAGTTCATATTAAACTGACTTGCTAATTCAGTAGCTAATTCCTCAATGTTTATACATGAAAAAGGATAACTCATAAATGATGCTATATTTTCCAATTTACTGCAATCATAAAAACGCATTTCAAATTGTCCCAAAATATTTGATAATTCAGCCTCATACGTATCATAATTCAACTGAGGAATCCTTGCTTTCAAAGACGGAAAATGTTTCAGATCCTTTCTTTTCAGTTGATCTATCACAAGTTGCAATTTATCTCAATAATAGTTTTTCCTTTACTTTGAAGCTCCAAGTTAACGGTGTTTAAGTGCATTGTGATGTCAGTCAAAAATGCCAAATCATTCAGCCATTTTTCGTTTTTCAAAATCTGCCTCTTTCGTCTAGAAAAGCTGTTATTTCGGGCAATAATTCTTGAAACCTTTCTAGGAATTTTCCGCGACTCAACCACCTGACGTCCGTGTGAAGAACTAAATCAGTGTGTTTAGCAGACTCCCTATCTTCCAACTGCAACTGAAAGAGCCGCCGTTGCAAGCTACGAATTCACAATTTTGTTGCAATGCCCATAATTTCCTCCGTGTTTAAAACTTTTGAACACAAAACTTGTTGATGTATAATGCAATGGAATGAAAAAAATGAAGGGAATTCTTCATTAGCTCGACACAATGCCACAAAACCGTTTTTGTTTCCAGTCATTGCTGGTGCTCCATCGGTTGTTAATGCATATTAATTTATATATTGGTAGCTCGTAGTTTTTTACAAAATTTAAGAAAACGTCATATATATCTTCGCCACGGGTCTTCCCTTCAGAGGAATGATTGTCAAAAATTCTTCCTTAGCCAACATGTCATTGAATACCATCCGAATAAAAATACACAGCTGGGCAGTGTCTGTCATATCGATGGATTCGTCGAACTGTAAAGAAAAGTATGTACATTCCATGATATCATGGAATGTACATACTTTTTCTTGTCTTGACTCATGACTTCAATTCGCCTTGTGACAATCGGAGGAGATAACTAAAGTTCTCTAATAGCAGACATGATTTCTGTTTTACTTTAAAATCTCCAAATAAAGTCTCACTCGCTTCAATAAATGCTTCCTTCACCACCGATCCATCTTCAAATGGTTTCTTGTGTTTCGCCAAAATATGAGATATTTTAAATGACGCGATCGTAGCAGCTTTTGATTGTTTGGCTGGTCTTGTGAACATGGATTGTTCTTTTTTCAAACACGATATCAAATCACTTACTTTTCGTTTTCTTAATTCACTCTGTGGCGGAAAATCCTTTTCATAGTTTTTATGAACCGTTTTATGATGCCTCTCTAAGTTACCACGCTTAGGTATTGCAACTGACGCACGACAAATAACACAAATGCACTTATCCTTCACCATAGAAAAGAAAAATCCTTCCTCCCAATCCCTATTAAAATGATACGTTTTAGATTTCTTCACTGCACTTATTTTCCACTATTTAATAATAAACTTTGTATCGACGTAGGATCGCTATCAAGTTACAATTCAGAATAACTCCAATTCCTGCAGGCGCAACATTTATATCGGCGTGGACGAAAGTCTCGAATGGTTCCGTCAAACGCGCCGCCCGAAACTAGACTGTACTGTCTCTCGTCTAGAAACAACACGGCTTTTCTTTGACAAGTGCCGCGCGTTCCTTTGATAATGCCACCTTTTGCCGCAAGCAGTGTTATTTTATTACGTAATACATTTTTGTAGTTGATAGAATATCATCCCAAATTTGATTAATAACTATAATACATATTGAATTAATAAAATAATTAGTTAATATATGTAAATATAAAATATGCTGTGTGGACAGTATTTTGTTGTCCCCACTTCTTTGAATTGCAATGATGCTTAGTCAAGCATTCTATGTATTTGTATAGTTCAGTATTAATAAAAACGTTTAACTCTGCTGACAGTAGTTTAGTTACCTACCTACTTATTAAAAATTTTTTTCTTCTCGAGATTTACCCAAAAAGCACTCGCGATCGACCAGTCGATCGCGATCGACCAGTCGATCGCGATCGACCGTTTGAGCACCCCTGCTCTATATTATGACAACGTTGATGTACTATTCCTTTCTACCGGTCCTAGAATGCGATGTTGTCATGTATGACTTTTACAAAGAATATTATCGTACTTTAGATGTTTTTTATTATAAGTATTATATATATATATATATATATATATATATATATATATATATATATATATATATATACATATATATATATATATATATATATATATATATATATATATATATTATACATAAATATTGATGTTACTAAATACATTTTATGATATAGGTACCTTAACAAATACAAAACGATCATTAATATGATAATTTTGCTGCATGTCAATGATTAAATTTAAAAGTGCTAGAATATCTATCATTACAAACTGGCAACGATTTTGTTGCCTTATCGCATTCATAGTTCGGAGAATTTACTGCCTACAAATTTGATTCTCAAGTATACCAAATTGTGCCCTTATACCGGCTCAATCTCTTTTTGTAAATCCTACTTTGTGTTTGCCCAAAAACTAAAGATTTGTATTTTAAATAAACAAACTACTGCATCTAGGTAAAAAAATATTTTCTGTAATAATGTGCAAGCAAATATTATAACCAATGAGTTTTTCAATGGTTACCTGAAATATTAAGGACTGATGACCGCTCTCGAACTGATTGCGTCGCTTGATTAAATCAAACCGACTAAAACAAAAGCTAGAACATGTCACCCCACCATTTATACATAAAGAAATAGCCTAATAGATTTCTCGCTAGGATATACAGGCGTCGTAGTATTAAGTTTACCAACTTAAACGTCTGTACAACAGAATTTAATTTTTTTGAATAGGCCGGATTTACATCACGAATTTGTATAGACCGTTAATAGGTCTATACAAAATCTAAACTTGACAGTAGCGAAAAAAATAATACATGAGAAAAAATTTCTTGATTTTTTTTGCTGTCAAGTTCGTAGTAGTGCGTTATGATGTCATTAAATCTATGAAGTGCACGTCTAGTTGCTTGAGTTGTACTTTACTAAAGTTATTACACAACTTTTTCTGCATATTCACATCCAAATGTAATCGTTTTGTCACAGATCCGCCTTGGTCTATAAGTAAAGTTTTCAAGGATGAAATAACCATTTAGGAAGTGATAAAAGGATAAAAAAATAAAATAATTAAAGTGAGAAAACTACTGAACACTTTGTATGTGGTGATAAAAACCGTTTGTTATAAATAATTGATAGCGCAAGAAAAGATTAGGGCTAAGCTTCAAGGTAGATACCGATATATTGGTTAATAAAGCTCAGCGAATGGTTTATTTTCAGTTTTTGGTCAACTGTTCCGAGCAGCAGTCTCGAGGGTTAAAATTGCCATTCTTCAGCAGTACCGGGCATCCGAACTCGAACAAAAACTATAATTCCATCAAAACACCTTATCATTAACCGTAAAGAAATCTCTTGAAAAAAACCTGAAACACTGTTGTACGGAACGACTTGGTTTTTCCCAAGTGAAGTTTAGTGAACCAAAAAATATGCATATAACATTTATCGTCAGTGTATCAAAAATTTAATTATTGCTGACATAAAGTGACGTTAAATTGAAAAAAACCGCAAATTATTCGCAAACAAATATTTAAATCGTATATTTTTATTTTAATGTAGATGAAAGTCTCAGATTATTAAGTTTATACAATGCTAAGCAGTGTAAACAAAACGAAATAAAAAATAAATATGTATAATATGCTTCTAAACTTATTATCAGGTATAAATTAACTGCCTTGTTTTTCGGGGTGTTAGTTCCTGTTAATCGAGGCTCTGAATAAGATGTTGGCTCTATTGGCACTTGTGGGATTAGCAATTTTTGTGATTGTAACATTTCTTTTTAAAAAACCTAAAAATTTTCCGCCAGGTAAGAAAATTTAAAAGCTCATAATGAATAAAATAGATATGTTCCGGTATTGATTTTATCGATTAATTAAGATCGAAGTCTTACTAATATTTTTTTAAATATTATCTTTTTTACTTCTTAGTGGTTAATAAGTATTCTTCTTCATTTTTCCGGCTAAAATGTATGGATTAATATGTTCATTTGCTTATACTAAAATATGTTTTTATTTTTGAATCGTCTTTTATTATCTGCTATATATTACCGAGTTTTGGAACTAATCATCTTCTTGAAGTTCTTTCTCTTATCGGAAGTTGGAATTATTATGGCGATTCTAAGTTTATTCACAGCTGTCCTAAATAATTTAAATAATAAATATAATAAATAAGTTAAACTCATATTAAACGTCTTACAATACTGAACTGGCTTTTTATGTTTCTTTTCAATATGTATAGCATCTCCCTTTATTATATATAAGAGCTATACGTTCTTAAAGAAGCTAAAACTGATTTCACTTAAAGATCCTTTTTGTGTGGGGGATCATCCCAATCTGGGTTTGGTTTTACAGTTTCTAGTGCGACTTCGCTATTTCCACTACTTTTCTTCATTCTTCTCTCTCTTTGATTGTCCTTTTTTCTTCTTCTTTTTCTAGTGCCGTCTTCACTAATGGAGGTTGGCTATAACCATTGCAATTTCGTCTCAATCTTCTGCTTTTCCTAAGAGCGTCTGTGCGTTTAACCTTGTCCAGTCGCGAATGTTTTTCAGCCAGGATGTTTGTCGTCTACCAAGACCCCTCTTTTATTCGATTTTACCCTTCATAATCAGCTGCAACAACTCGTACTTATCATTTCTAAGTATGTGTCCCAAATATGCTGTCTTTCGCCTTTTAATGGTGGTCAAAAGTTCTCTGTCTCTTCCCATTCTGTGCCACACCATTTCGTTCGTAATATGATCGGTTCATGGTATCTTCAAAATTCTCCTAAAAAGCCACATCTTAAAAGCTTCTAGTTTTCTCATTAAGTCAACATTAACAGTCCACGCTTCAACACCATAAATAAGTATAGAGTGGATATATCATTTTACCATCCGACATCGGATTTGCAGATTGAGTCTTTGGTACTCAGAAATAAAAAATCTTTAAAAAGGCGTGATTGCTCTATTCTTGAGCGAAGTTCTAATATCGGAATCAGATCTTCCGTAATCCAGACTCCTAACTATTTCCTATTGTCCACTTGCTCAATATCTTTATTTTTTATATGGGTCATTGTAATGACTTTACTTCTCTTACTGATGACCATGGTTTTTGTTTTATTTATGTTTATTGTTAAACCAAACTGTTCCCCAGTATCACACCTTGTGTTTAGTAACGTCTTTAAGTCTGTCACACTTTCAGCGATAATGACTGTATCGTCAGCATAACGGATGTCATTTATATTTTCCCCATTTATCTTGATCCCTTATGTATAGTTTTCAAGTTCTTGCGTGAATAACTCTTCGGAATATATATTAAATAGTAATAGTAAAACACAGCCCTATCACACTCCTCTGCTTATCTGTTGCGCATTCGTGCTATTTCCATTTACTGTTCTTCTTCTTCTTCTTCTTCGTCTAGCCATTCACGTCCACATCTGAACATAAGCCTCTTCAAGTCTTCCTTTCCATTGTTTTTTATTGTACGCTACTTGTAACCAATTTTTCCCGGCAGTCCTTTTCAGATCATCTGTCCATCTCATAGGAGGTCTGCCTCTGGGTCTTTTGTGTTGGTATGGTCTCCAGGTTAAAATTAATCTGTGCCATTTGTTTAGATCGCTCCTAGCTACATGTCCAGCGTATTCCCATTTCAACTTTAATGATTTTTGCACCACATCGGTGACTTTGGTTTTCTGTCTTATCCATGTGTTTGTTTTCTTGTCCTTAAGTGATATACCTAGCATTGCTCTTTCCATCGCGTGCTGAGTGACTTTAAGTATATTCATATTCTTTTTTGTGATTGTCCATGTTTGTGCCGCATAAGTTAATATCGGAATAATGCATGCACCGAAAACTTTAGATCTAAGATGTAATTGAATTTGTTTATTTCTGAGTATATAGTTGAGTTTACCGAATGCTGCCCAAGCCAACTTTCTTCTTCTTTTTATTTCTTCAGTTTGAATTTCCCTATTTAGGATTATTTTTTGTCCTAAGTATATATATTCTTCAACTTTTTTCTATAACTTTATCGTTTATTATTGTCACGGTGTCTTCGGAGTGCATGACTTTTGTTTTGTTTAAATTCATTTTCAGTCATATTTTAGAAGATTCGGTATGTAGTTCTAAAAGCATGGTTTGCATTTCTTGTAGGTCAGTAGCTATCAGGATTATGTCATCTGCAAATCATAGATTACTGAGGTAGCGGCCATTGATGTTTATTCCCTTATATTTCCAATTTAGGTTTTTAAAAACGTCCTCCAAAACTAAGGTGAACACTTTGGGTGATAAAGTATCTCCCTGTTTGACTCCCTGTTTAATGGTACAGGGTTCGTGTGTTCTTTTTCATTTAGATAGTATGTAGCTGTAGCTTAGTTCATAGTTTCTTTTATTAAGTTAATATATCTGCTGTCTATTATACAATTTTGCATTGCGTTTATTACGGCCGTGTGTTCTATGGTATCGAAAGCTTTTTCGTAGTCTACAAATGCTAGGAAAACTGAAAACTTGTATTCGTTACATTTTTCTATTAATATTTTTGTGGTTAACAGGTGATCGGAAGTTGAATAGCCTTTTCTAAAACCTGCCTGTTCATATGGTTGGTATTCGTCTATTTCCTTGTTAGTCGAGTAGTTATGACTTTGGTGAGTATTTTAAACAGGTGTGACAGTAGGCTGATGGGTCTGTAGTTTTCCAAATTTCGACTATCACCTTTCTTGTGTAATAAGATTACTTTAGAGTTGTTCCAGCTCTTAGGGACTTTGCCCTTATGTAAACAACTGTCCACAAGCTTAGTTACAATTGCAATTAGTTCCTTACCTCCTTCTAATATCATATCTGTGGTAATTCTATCTTCTCCTGCAGCTTTATTTCTCTTCATGTTTTCCAAAGCTGTAGTTACCTTTGAAATTGTTACTTTTGGCATTATTTCTGATCCAACATTTTTTATTAATTTCCGTGCTGGTCTCATCTCATCATCTTGTTGATGTGATCTGTAAAGTTCTGTGTAAAATTCTTTTATTCGTGTCAGTATGTTTTCTCTACTTGTGATTTCATTTTCGTCTTTTCTCATTAATGATATCATCTGACGTTGTCCTAGTGTCGGTCTGAGGCATTTCATACTCTTATTTTTTTCAATGGTTGTTGTTATTAAGTTTTCGTTTTCTTTTCTTTTTTGTTGTCTAATTCCTTTTCTAATCTGCCTATTAAGTTATCTATATTTGTCGGTTCCCCTTTTGTTAGATTTATTTAAGAACATCTTTCTTTCTATTTGTTGTAATATTTCTTTGTCTAATTCATTGTTTGTTGTTTTTGGGTTTTTCCGTTGCAGAAGGCTTTTATTCACTGCTGCTTGCTAACTTGATTTAATGCATGCACTATCTTTTTATTAAATTCACTATTTTTGATTTCTTCAGATGTCCATTTGTATCTTTTTTCATGTATTCTTTTTCTTTCCAGTTTTTTGTTAATTATTAGTTTTATTCTTATTAGTATATGATCGCTTCCTAGGTCAAACTGATTTAATACTGATACGTCTTGTACTAGGTTTCTATTCTTCGTTAAGATATAATCTATTTCATTCTTTGTCTTTTTATCGGGACTCATCCATGTCCATTTTCTGCTTGGTTTTTTATTGAAAAAGGAGTTCATTGAGTACATGTTATGTTCATTCATGAAATTGTGAAGCATTTCTCCTCTATCGTTTCTTTTCCCGTAGCCATAGTTACCAATTAAATGTTCATAATCTTCCTCTTTTTTGCCCAATTTAGCATTAAAATCTCCTAATAGTATTTCAGTATTTCGTAATTTGCTTTATTTGTTTCTATAGCTGTTCTTATTTCATCATAAAATATTTTTACTTCTTCATCGTCGTGGCTTTTGGTCGGAGCGTACACTTGGATCACTTTCAGAGTGGTGCTTTTATTAATCCTGATGATGAGATATGCTACTCTGTCTGATATGGGCTTGAATTCTTCGATACATTGTGTGAGGCTTTGTTTTACCAAGAATCCCACTCCAGTGTATTCGCCACCTATATGAATAAAATATGTGCCATTTTTTAGTATTATATACTCATCACTTTTTTCTTTTGGTCTCGCATATACCAAGGATATCCCATTTTATATCTTTTAGTTCACTTTCTATTTCTGGGAATCTATTGTCGTCCGTCAGTGTTCGAATATTGTAGGAGCATAGCCAAATTGTCATTTTGTGTCAGCCGGGTCTTACCCAGGGATTCTTAGCACCCCCTTCCGTTAGTTGTTTGATCACTGCCGTGATCAAGACTTTGGGAAGTGCTGGGCACTGGGGGCCTTTTCTTTTTTGTCCTGTACATTGACTTGAAGGTTTGGACCGTTATCTCCTCACGCTGGTCAAGTGGGGGTTGAGGAAGAAAGGGAAGGATTTGGGTAGGTCTGGGTTGGTGGGTAGGATTTAGGGATTAGGATCCGCTTCTCTCCCGGAAGAGGATTGGGAGAAAAAACCGAGCTCGCGTGGGCAGGGACGCATCCCTGAAGCAGACCTGTCTTTACCGGGATCGTAAAGAGTGTCCAGCCGCTACCCGCGGGTAGACACTTTAATTTACCACATTTAATGTTACCACAGCCTATTGGTTCCAATAGAGATTTCTCGCTATGATAATGTCATTTTTGTCGAGCCCTTTTCTCTTTAGACATTCCATGAGAATGTTATGTATGATTTTGGCGAAAGCTTTCGCATAATCTATAAACGCAACGAAAAGATCTTTTTGTTGGTCTCGACATTTTTGAGCAAGAGTTGTGAAATTATACAGAGCTTCCACTGTTCCGAAGTTGTTACGATAGCCACTATGTCTATTA